GCCAACCAGTAGAGTTGTCTCCTTGGGTAAGGGAGCCTAGGAATAATAGTAGTGTGGAATATTCTGCTAGGAGCTGATAGCTAAGAGGAGATGGAAATACATTAGCCAGAGAATGCATCATTCATACGGAAATTGTGTACTATGCAGAATCCCTTAGAAACTTCAAGGAATTCTAGTTCAATTTTTAGTTCAATTTTTTAAGCCAACACTCAGAGGTTTGCCACCAGTAGTTAGAATATACGAGTCAGTAACATGAAACTTTCTTCTATCCTTTCCTTTATCCTCAACCTTCATAGATAGGAGTCAACAATAGGAGTGGAGAAAAAAACCGGAAGTGCAAGGGGAAGAACTGTGAAGGAACAATGTGTTCCACATTGCTGCATGTCTTCAAGACAAAGATCAGGCTTGAATGGGTGGCAAAGGAGGGAAAGAACACTGAATTGGCTGAGAAACCGAAGGTTTTTTTCATCTTGATTTGAAAAAAAAAAAACTGTTAATGGACTGTCTTAAAGTATTTGTCATAAATGCTTTAGCTGTTTATTTTTAATTAGTTTTTATTAGTGCATATTACATAATGATCACATTTATCATAGGGAATTTGTACCTGTACATAACATAACTTAATTCTTGTTTTTTTTTCCCATTTCCCTTCCCTCCGCCTCTCCCAATTTACAAAAGCGTTGTTTCTGTTTTTTCCGTTGTCTTTTTTAAATCCCTTTCCTTTCCTTCCCTTCCCCTCCCCCCTCCCTAGTGCCTCTTTCGATTTGAACATGGTCTTCCTACTTCCCAATATCTATCCTCCATTTTGCTCCTAATAAGTGGCTGTCTATTAAATTGTAAACTACATGTTTGTGCATTCTGAATTTAACACATGACACGTAGTGACTGAAAATCTATGGACTCCTCAAGTGTCCTACCAGGCCAGGGAATACATAGGCAACTGAAGATGATTAATGAAAGTGATTAAAGAAACAGGCCCATTGCTTATTTAAACCCTCTGGAGCTTAACCCATTCAATAGACTGCCTGCCTATGAAAAAGTCATGCATGTGTAAGTACATGCATACATATGTAGTGTACATAAATACATATTCTGAACTTTTAGTTTATCTCATTGGCAAGCCAACTATACTCAAATAATAGACCATTTAAAAACATAGTATCTTCTATTCACAAGGCTCTTTATGAATCTTCTAATATAACCTCCTATTCCATAGAATAGTCTTTTCTACTAGGTTATGGAGAGAGAACAGTAACAACAAAAATAACAAGAAAAGGTTTGGTGCCTGCCATGTACAAAAACTGATCTAAATGATTTATATAGGTAGTGCCTCATCTCCTCATATCACTTTTAAAATTGATGGATGATGATGTTCCCATTTTAGAAATGAGGAAATAGCCTTAGTGAGGCTAAGTGAAGTGAAAGTCTTAAGATTTAAATTCAGTCCTGCCTATATGTCAAAATACATCTTTGTGTGTTTATTCTTAACTTCTAAAACGACTGGAGAACTTCAGAAAAGGGTGCCTACTCCCTTAGAGAAATTGCATTTTAAAAAATGCATCTCATATTATTATGATATCCTTCCATATATTAAAATTCTATTTTTTTCTATAAAAATTACCCATGGATTCTGCTTCAAGTCTACATGATATTTTATAGGCCTCACGTGAAAGAATTTATCTGATCAATGAGGATTTATTGAGCATCTAGTCTAAACCACATACTGTTCTAGGTGCTGAAGTTCATACAGTGAAAATTATTAAGTTCCTCCCTACATGGAACATGTATCCTATCAATCAGCTTTCCATAGTTCTCTATTTATTGTAATCATCCTCACTTCCTATTTTTTTCTCTCAGTTCAAATTTTTAAAAATTTAGTTTACATATGTCTTCTAGAATACAGTGAGATACAAGTATGCATATACAAATATATTTATAATGATCTTACTTGTAAAAGCAAAAACCATAAATATCTAAAATGGTAAAATAAATGATGATAGACACATCATATAGTTAATACTAAGTCATTAAAATTATACTCATAAGTTGGAGTTGTAGCTCTGTGATAGACTGATTGCTCAGAATGTGCAAAGTCCTGGGTTTGATCCCTAGTATCACAAAAATTTATGTTCAGAACAGATTTTAATGCCACATAAAATGGCACATAGTATAGAATTGTATAAAAGTTTAACCTCAATTCTCTGTGTATACATGTATGTGGGTTTGCCCACAAGTGCAAGTAAGAAAATGACTGGGAGAGAACACATCAAAGTTCTAACAATAGTTATTTACTAGATGAGTAACATTAATAATGCTTTGTATCTTTTCTATAACAAGTATATCTTATTTTAAAAGTGGAATATGTGTGTGTATACTCTGTACAGGGTGTTGCAGTAGGCTCTGGAGCAATTGTCCAATTAGCACAATGAGGCATCTGGTCAGAGATTGCAGTGTTTATAAATTAAATGAGTATATGTTTGTGTATATATCAGCAAGTGTATTTTCCATGACTCACTTTTCATCTCATTTTGGTTTCTCATCATCATCCAGATGAGTCAAATCTCCTCATGGTCAGTTGAGAGCCAACCATGTTTAATAATAGCCTAAGAAAAGTACATGTAGGAAGATAAACCTACTGGTGGCAAAAGAATAACCACTATGAGTTCAGAGCCAAGTATAAAATCATGTTTGATTATACCCTTTTTTAGTTTATCTGAGTTCCTAATTGCCTGTATATAACAAGATCACTGATCAATGACCATTTTAGCAATAATTTTGACTGGTCATGCAGAATCATAATAACCTCATAGAATGAATAAAAATTTATAAGAACCCAAGCTCCCATTTTGAAAATGAGTGACTACACTTTCCATAGCAATGGGCAGTTGGAGGCTAAATAACTTATGTTTTGACATTATCTACTCACAATTTGTCACTAATACTTTAGCTGTCTAATACATTATAAAATATATGTTTGTGCATCCTAAAGTTTAATGGCATGCATGCAGTGATGGCAATAGCTAATAGCTAGAAAATAAGCAAATTAACCCATTTGGGAAGGGGCACAGAGTGGGTTAGAAATTCTATTAGGTAAAATTGATCCGTGATTATGTAGCTGAAAAAAGCTTTTTTAGTATTTCTGACATCTGTATTCCAGTAGAAATATGACACAAGTACGTTATCTGTTCGTTATTCTGGAATATTTAAAAATATCAGAGACAGCTCTATTTGTTTTTCTGTGGGCAAACAGAATCTAATACTTATCTTTGGAGGCATAGGGCTTTATAAATTGTATTATTATTTCCCCAGTATGTACTCCTCCTCCATTATAGCCACAGACCTCCTCCATATTGTCATCTTATGTTCCAAATATAAGAGATAATGTGGAACATGATCTAACACTTCTCATCATGTCAAATACAACACAACTGAACATGAGATCAAGCCAGCAAAGGTATGGGATTACATCTCAATTATTTTCTGGAACTAGATTTTGGAGACACTCCACAACCAATGTGAGACAGTGTATACTGTATGCTAAATTGAACTCACATTGAGTCAAAAGAATTTTTTAAAGTCCATTTTTAGAAATTAAAAAACCCAGAAGAAACGATTTTAAAAGTTTCACCACAAATAAATGAAAAATGAGGAGATAAATAAGTTTAGCCTGATTTAAACATACACAATGTATGGATATATTGAACATGACATAGGATGCCATTGATTTGTATAATTTTTATATATCAGTTAATAACAAATTTCAAAAAATTAGAAAAGAGAGAAAGCTGAAAAAATAAAAATAAATTGAACTCAAATTCCAAGAAAATTGAAGTCAGTGTCTTGATATACTCTTGAAGGGGAAAGCACACATAGGCACATTTCTGGGATGCTAGGGCATTTCACAAGTAGGACATTTATCAGTACTTAATCAATATTTATAAATGCAGAGATATTATGTCACATAAAAATAGATACAGCCACTTATGGATCATTATTTGAGATGCTACAACATGTCCATGTGTTCTTGATATTCATCCCACACTTCTCTATCAACCTGCTATGTTTCTGCAGTGATGTTCTGGAGCAACTAATGTTCTTTCTGTAGGTAACTGTGTCATTCAAAAATAATAACATATTAGCTACTAGAGTGAGTTATAGTACAGCAAAGATTCATATATCTTATTTGATGCACCCTAATATTGTATATTCATTTCATATATATGTACACATGAATATTATTTATTCGTTTCATACATATGAATAGTGTATATTTATTACATATATTCTTTAATATGTATATTCTGTGTGAATTTCCAGGGGCTTAATTTAAACTTTTATTACTGTAAATGCCTTCACTGATCATATGAATCACAGTGCCCTCACCAGTAAATATTTGACAGTACAACCTAAATTGAATCAGTCTTACTCTGATTCCTGTAAACTTCGTGGCTTATAAGCATCTGAGGTCAAAAGCACTTAAGGGCTTCTTAGAATTCCTGAGCTATGTTTCTGCTCCTCAATTCCTTTTTTTCTCTCAATCTCAATTCCTCTTTCTTTTAAGTGATTTTCAGGGTGCTCCATGTCCTCGGAACCCTGATACTCTCAAATTTAGCTCTTCATTCTCTTATTTATTTTTTTTTTTGCTTAAATTCTTTTATTGGTACATTTTAGGTATACAGTACATTTACATTTATCATTAGGTGCTTGTACCTGTACATGATGTATCTTGGTTCTTATTTTTTCCCCATTATCTGTGTGCCCTTCACCCCCTCCACCCTTCCCTATTTACATAGATTTTGTTTCCATTTTTTTCTTTTCTCATAAGTTTTCCTTTCCCTTCTTTCCTTTCCCCTTCCCCTCCCACTTCATTCTCTTATTGCACTCACATTTCTAACACTGCCATAGGATGGCAAACTTTCTCGCTTCAAAGAATTCCTCAGCCCACAAAACCTTTGGCAAACCTGTCATGTCATTTATTGTCAAGTGAGAAGATTTCTTACCTTTGGCAGAGATGCCCTGGAACCTGAACTCTGGGTGGTCATCGTTAAGACTGTGGTGATGCCCAGGGCAACCCTAGCAGGGGCTGCATCCATGTTTATCCAGAAGGAGACCCAGGACAAAATGACGATCAGCAAGCTGGGGATGTACATCTGGATCAAATAATATCCCATCTGGCGTTCCAGGTGAAACTTGACCTCAATGCAGGTAAACTTTCCTAGAAACAGCAAACTATCATTTAAAGTCTAATTTTAAGTCTTTTTCTTTCTAATTCTACCATCTTATTTTATTTTAAAAAATCAAATGTATTACAGATAGGCTGAGAAGAGTGCACAGAACTCTCACCATATATAACCAATTCAACCAGTGATGGAAATAATAGTGTGAAAATGAGCGATCTAAAGAATCAATGGACTAAAGCCATACAGTATATTTAATTTTTAAAATATGTGCTTGTTGCAGCTTGATTATTTTAGACAGATTGCAAGATTGATATAAACTGATCAGTGGAAGTAAAATATTCAAAATTTGTGCAGTTAGAATGTATAATATATAGCAACCAATATAGAGCCCATAGCATACACGGTATAGCATATAGTATATGACATATACCATATAATACGTAGTGATTGAAACTGTTTCCCCATAAGTAGTAACAGGAGCTCCCCAAGTATTTGAATAACTGTATCTATCTTTGTGTTATCACTGGCAAAAGAAAAACATTTTTATAAGCCATGTGCATATGGTAGTCATTGTAAAATTTTCCTAGACTTTTGGGTAGTTGCTTGAGAACATTTAGAAACTGTGGTGTTACTTTGCTTATAAAAGAGAGTGCATATGAAGATCTTAGAACTGTTACTACTAAGAGACATCTCTGTCTTTTTCTACTTTGTTTCCCTCTTTAATCAGTTTGGATTTAGAACCTTGAAGATAATTTGGCTTAGTCCACACAAATTATATGAAATGGGCTTAAATTCTTCTTAGTCCGAAAGAATGCCTTAGAATCAGATCTAAATTACTTCACAGGAAGTAATGTTGACTATTGGAACAAGTGTTGGTGGGCTGTTCTTCACAGCCAGGGGCCTGGAAGTCACTGGGCAAGCAATCATGTTTCATTGCCTCCCCATGATTAGCATCCATGGTATCATAGGAACATATAGGAAAAGGCATCAACTTTACTGGGCAGGTATAATTTTGCAGACAACACAGGTGCTCACTTGTTGGCCCCTCCTCACATTGTCCCTCATACCCTGTGTGTCTATCAGTGCTACTGGTCCCTGTCTTTAGAGTCAGCTAAATTCTCTCTAGCTGATTTTCATCCAAACTATTACTGTGCAGGACTAGACAGCTCAGTAGTTCTATATCTGAGTATTATCCCTGTCTTCCACTATGGCGGGGAATACAAATTGACCTAAGGATCCAATGTGGAGAGTGGATGCCAGGAAGGGCCAGATGCAAATGTTTCCTGTACTACTAATCTCTTACACCTTTTTTCAGACTCATTTGACATCAGATGCTTAGCAAGACAATAGCAAAAGAGTCCCAATTCTCTCTCCTATATTTTGGAAAAATTATTTGTTGTGTTCACTGATCTATTCCAGAGGGTACAGAAGTCTTACCTGTCTAGAGGTTTTTGAACTCCATTTGTTTGGTAAATATGCAACGATTAAAGTGATAGGATATATATTCGGAGTTTCAAATGGATCCCAGGTGGGTTTAGTAGCTGAAAGAAAACTTACCAGTGTTGTAGTGCTTTGTGCAGTAGCCAAGTTCCTTCTCTTCTTTCAAAATAAATTGGGGCAAAGTCAGTCCTTCAGCCACTTGCACTGGACCATCACTTAACCATTCAAATATCAGGTCATTCATGGTGTACCCAACTAGAGTAAAGAAATTTTAGTGGAAAAACTGAATGTACCTTTTCAAGGAAGCTCGGAAGTCTAGCCATATAAAGAAACAAGCAGAAAAATGTCTAAAGCAGACATATGCCCAATCATTTCAAGAGCATTCTTAATACCAGAGTTGCAATCATCACAACAACTGTGTCATTGGCTCCAAAGAAATTAAAGATAATGAGCAAATTTTGGATTATTATTTTTTGTGTATAATGAAATAATGGAATCTATAGTTATTTACTTTTGCTTCTTTATTCACTCTTTCTGAAGAATAAGTAAACAAACATGAAAATCCTTTGACGATTGTGATAGAAAGAGCTGTGTCTGTGGCAGTCCAATAAGACAATTCACTTCATGGTGCCAGTCTTAGTGTTTCAAATGAGACTGTTTTTTAATTAGAATGAATTTACCACAGGCCTTCCTAAAACATTCCAGTTGCAAAATTGGCCCCTCTCCCAGGATCTATTAGGTTTTACTTTCAGAAAACTTCTATTAAATATTTATGATCAACTCTCAATTATGTTAGCTAGTGAAGAACGCTATAGGCAGATAACCTAACAAGTTGCAGAATATGCAAATCAAGCATATTTGTTTGTGTTAATGTATTGCCAAATAGGCCTATTCATTACAATTATTATTATGGAGTAAAACAGATTATATATTATGTAAGATTATTCTGTTACAAGACTTGAGCCATCCAAAGTAAAATAATAAACAGCTTAGTAAACCAGTTTAGCTCTTAGTCTCCAAGTACCTACGAGCAAGGCTATATTCTGTCAAAGATGCTTCTGCATCTTATTCCACTCCATAAGTGACAGTTGCTCTTTTATACATTATTTCTCTACCTCCCCTTTTGTTTGTGATTCTTGAACTCTTAAAATGAGACTGACAAGGATAAAGAATATTATGTGAGGTTTTGGCTGGCCAGTACCTTCAGCATGGTTATTAAGTTTAAAGATTCTTATTCTTGTTTATTGCAAGAAAATGACTCACCAAAGCTACCCAGAAACCAATGGCAAACTTAATTGAAGAGTACTTTCCTCTTTCTTTTGACCACTTTTTAAATTCAAAGACAAAAGACAAAAGCATGGAAAGCCAGGAATTGCAAAGAGGATCCTATAGAAGCACTGATGGCCCACGAAGTGAACGGCTAAGGCCTTCTCTTCCACCGCAACTCAGAGTACATCCGGGGTACCAACAAATATCTGAAGTTTATCAAATACCCCGAGTCCTTCTCTAGTGAGCTTTTCCTTGGCCACCACAATAACAGTCCTGGCCGCCCCCTGAAGCCTCAACATAGAACAGACAGAAGAGATAAAAAGGTGGAGATTAAAAAAAAGGAGATAATATTGGGTTAGAAAAGTAAAAAGTATTTCCTACCTTCGGCATCTAAACTTAGTAAGCACATTGCTGATTCTTTTATTTCGTTTCTACAAGGAACAAGTATATTCACTAATTGAAGTTTTTTTTAAGTCTTAAGTGAGCCTTACTTGACAGACAAAATAGAAGTATTGAGGCAGGTAAGAATGTGGAATAATAGAGGAAACAAAGAAGGAATCATGTAAAAAAGTGTTTTTTCTCAACCTTCTCAAGAGAAGGGGCAAAAGAGAAAAAAATGAATACATAAAGCCTATTATAAATCAAAAATTCTCATTTTATCCCTGACAACTTCTTAAAACAAAGATGTTTCATTATTTTGTTTATTCATGTAGGAAGTTTCAAGGGAAATCTACAGTGATTTTACATGATCAGAAAGAAACCCTGTCACCATTTATTTTTTTAAATAATAGTTGATGTGTCTTTTTATACTTATTATTTTTCTAAACCAAGAAGTTAAATGTATTTCTTTGTTCCTGGCCTATTAAATCTCCTAGCATTCCTGTAGATCAGTAACACATGTTATTGTTTGCATTTCACAAACAGAGAAAACGGACAGAGAAAGCCAGGAAACACGAAATGTATCTTAACTGAAAATTCCATTACCTTGGAGGCATTAGCAATATATGGTCCATTTCAAAGATTTCGGTGGCACCAGAGCTAGGGATGGAAGGGGACAAAGTGGATGGCATTTCCCTACTTCCTTCTCCATACCTTCATGCATCTATTGTTTATCTGAGGAAGATAGCTCTTACTCTGTCTTATTCCATCTCATCTTACACATCGTGTTTTTGTATCCTGCACTGACTAAGGCCTTTGTTTCTTGTTCTCAAGGCAGTTATCCCTTCCTGCCAGAATTCTCTTGGGAATGATTGTCTATATGGGCATAAGATGGAAGGAAATACAATTTTCTGATTAAAGAGTTATTCATTATAAAGGTTGAATGACTAATAATCTTAATTTTCCCAGGACACCTTTTCATTTCAAAGAAAAGCTTATGAAATCAAGCTCTTTTTTTGAGAAAGGGCAAGTCATTTGAAATTTTAGATTGAAAAGTTGTTTATATTGTCTTAGTAATGAGCTTCTCCTATGAGACATGTACACACACTTTTGCTTGTTTGGAATTAGGACCTTGGGTGTTGTTGGTAAGTAGGGCAAGAATGAGTCTTATGAGTTTTCAGTCCTTAATAATACATTAAAAGAACAAGGTCATTGGTTAAAGCAAGCAGGCGGTCATATCAACAGTGGCCACTTACAACTCTCCAGCTGCATCGTGCAGGTCTGAACATCCATTGGAAAGTTCTTCAAGTCCATGGGACAGGATAAGGTCAAGGTGAGTCTTAGCAAAGAAAAAATGTAAAAACAAGTTTAAAACCTTGAGGTCCAGTTTTTGTGAAACAAACAAAAGTCCAATTGGCGTTAAGCAAAATATATTGATTCAAATACTGAAATCTAAGCTCTTGCTCAGGGCAGTATTTTTCAAATAACTAAAATAACTTTTAGTCATTGGTAAATTTTTTAAATATTGTAGTATTTTACCAGAACTCCTTCCTCTGTATTTCCCATCTTCTAGCCTTTGACTCTGCCTCCTTTCGTCTGTCCCCACCAGTGGCACTTGTCTTAAGTTTATTCTAGATTGAACAAGACCACTGAAAAATGCTGTAACATGAGCAGTGTGCTCTTATCCACACTGATGTCCAAAAGACATAGGGTTTATGCCACTTTAGAATTATTCCCTGGGTACATGAACTTTGTGTCAAGAACAATAAATGATGTTCTAAGCATAAATGGTTATGATAAGCATTGATTCTCCTTCCATCAAGTGGACAGATCCTTAACTTTACAGACTTTTTATTTCTTAATCTACATGGATGGTTTTTAACAATAGAGCATAGCATCCATTCTAGAATTTTGATAATTCTGGAGCAAATAGTTGAGCTGGAAAACTCATTTAAGAATAGTGTTTTGTAGTCTTCACCTCTTCATACCTAATATGAGCCAATATGATCCCTGTCCTCTTCCATTAACCTTTCTGGGCTCTGGCCAGCTCTGGCTGAGACTCATATCAAGGTATTCATTGAGCTACCATCTCTTTCCCTCCATTTCCCTTTTATTATTCAAGGAGCTGGTGCATGTATCTTGTTCTGCGATTTTTCTGTACCTCCAAGATTCAAGGAAGGAGATTAAGATTTGAGAATAAGCAAATCTAGGTTCTCTTCTTGATATTGCTTTAAACTTTCTCTGCAATCTAGGCAAGATATCAAACTTTCTAAACATTTCCTCAAAAATAATGAGATAGAATAAGATGATGCTTATTTCCATTTGATTCTAATACTAGAGTCTCTGTCATTCTCAAGTTCAGTGCTCCAAATTCTTTTCATTCCTCAGACATTTTTTATATTTTAAGATTTCTTGGACTGTTGTACTATTACCTAATTTCTCTTTGGCTGTCATGCTCATTTCCTCTCTCCCCTCCTGGTTACTTTGTCTTTATTTACTTTGTCTTTATTTACTTTTTCTGCCTCATTTTACATTCTATTCAAGCAAAAAGAAAACAAAAAAGTTTGTGCCACACATTTTAAAGAACAGAAAGAATTTTGAATTTGAAATGAGATTAGACAAAGAATCCATGCTGAGGATCGTCAAAGTCATTTAAAATACAGCAGCAATTGGGAAAAACAAGACACAAAGCAGTGCAGTGTGATCACAATTATGTAAAAACTATGTTTTCAGTCTTGGAAAGAAACACCACTATATTAAGAATAGATATTTCTGGTTAGTGGAATGATTCATATTTTGTTTTTATTCTTCTGCATTGTCTATATTGACAAGTATATATGCCTTATCTCAAATAATAGCTGAAGGGTAAAATTATAAATTCTATTTTATTCAGCATGCTTTTGCTATTATAATTTTATTATTAAATAACAAATATTTGACTTTCACTGCTAAATAAATTAGCTATCACCTGTGAGCTGTTCTGAGAAGCCAAATACCATGATTCTAAAAAATGATTTTTAGTTCTAAGAAACTGACTTAAAGTAACATCTTAGACGGGAAAAAGAATTTTTGTCAATTGTAGAGTTTATTTGTAGATATAGATATATAAATATTTAGTTATTTTTCTCAGCTTGAAGAATTTAATTTTTGGGGAAAGCGTAATTTTACGGAGAGTAATACCATGCACTCTTTAAAATAACCTCACAGTAAAAGAACCAAAATAGAAATCTGTAGTGAACAAAATCTTCCATTTTATTAAGGATGGGGAACCTCAAAAGGATCTATGGACTTAAAATTATTATTACCATAATGAAAGCCTATTTTGTCTTTTCTACTTTCTTAAATAACAAATATTTTCAACACACAAACTATGTTTTTCCTTGTTTATTGCAAACTATGCTGTAGAAAGATACAAAGCCTCAATTAGGAGAAAAGGTTTATTCATGAAGTGGTGAATATAATAATAATGTATATTTCAAAGTCACTAAGACAGTGAATTTCAAATGTTCTTACCACAAAAATGTGTATTTAAATGGAAAATACATTAATTAGCTTTATATAATTATTCCACATATATTCATAAATCATAACATCATTTTTCCCGATAATAACATACATAACTGTAGCTTGTCAATTTACAAATCTAAAACTAAAAACTAAAATACGTTTATCAAAAAAAGATCAAATAGTATGTGGATAATTTCAGTGAATCAAAATCAGAAAATTTGGAAATTTCAGTATAATTTTGAAAACTTTACCTTTAAGAAATTAGAAAATATTAATATTATGAAATATTATTAAAAATAAAAAATAAAATATTATAAACTCCAAATGAATACAGCATAAAAGAACCCACAGCACAGAATTCAACTAAATATTATTTGCTAATGGAAACAACTCAACTTTAATATCCCTAATCATATACTTGCTGAGTTTAATTCTTTTACAAAGTGAACTTTTCACATTTGTTTAGGGAGCAGATTTCTCTTCTTTTTTTTTTGGTACTGAGGATCAAACTTGGAACCTTGCACTTGCGAGGCAGGCGGCAGAACCACTGAGCTAAATCGCCAGCCGGGGAGCAGATTTCTCACACACAATTGTTCTTTCTTTTGTGGCTGATATATCTAACAATCCTACAGGGAGCCAGAATTTTGGGGGAATCAAAATTATTAACATCATGGAAGGCCCCACTGACAGAAATTCCCAGCAAATACGAAACTATCCCTGAATCTTGTCTCAGCTAAGAACCCAGTGGTACTTTTTTCTCCCTTGTGTTTCTAATTTTCTTCCTAGATAAGTTTTCTATTGGAACTCAATGGGTGACAATAATAAGAGAGTTAACAGCTCTGCAGCTTGTTAAATCATTTCATCATCTGAGCAAATGGTATGGGGAAAAGATTGTAAAGATCTAATATGTCTTGAGCTCATAATTTATGACATTGAATTTACCGTACATCTGAGCACTTAAAATCTAGGTTTTCCTATTATTTTTTCTTTTTCATTTACAGTATACATTAAATACAGTAAAAATAGACAAATATTGAGTTACAGAGCAACGATTTTTAAAATCTATACTCACCCATGTAAAAAGCATTCAGACTCAGATTTATAATATTCCTTTCACCCCAGAACATTCCCCTATGCTTTCTTCTTAGTGCAGAATCTCCCAAAGTAATGACCATCCCATTTGTTTTTAAGGCTATTTTGTGATTTGAAAAATATGAGCTTTGAGGGGAAAAAAATCATACTATTTTGTACAGAGATGTAGAAATTGCACCAAGTAAGACAGATGTGTACAGTAATACACCAAAATGTGAGCTTTTTTTTTTTTCTACTTTGACCTGGCTCTCTGCTTATTTTTGGTGATTCTCATGGAATTAAATATTTTAATTGAGAAGCCAGTATTCTTCCAGATTTGCCTGGAAATTCAGACATCTTGCTGGTAGACGCTGTCTACATCATGTCGAATTTGTTCTCCTCTTTCCCATGATCTGAAATATTAAGGCCGTTGCATTTGAAAGCAGTGAGCTGAGACTGCCCCTCTTTCTTTTCATTTGTTTTAAAGAACTTATTTCCTGAAGCATTACTTCTCATTCTCCCATTGTCAGTGCAGGTGACATACATGCATTTGGGGCACTCCATCCAAGTTTGCACAAGGAAAGGAATAATGTTTCCTTACAGAGACCCTGCTTCTTTACTGAGAGTAAGAAGGCTGAGCAAGCATTTAGGTTTTAAAAGCAAAGAACAAAACAAGCCACAGAAAGTCAGTTTCCACACATCTTATCTTTCTTGCTCTTTCCTTCCTTCCCCCCTTCAGTTCACCTTGCTCATAAAACCAGCTCTTGGTTTATACCTCACTTAAAACTTAGGTTTCTGATAGATGCAAACACTATAAATGGATTCAGTTACCTTTACAGTGTTTTATTTCAAATATTATAATTTTTATGTTTTTTGTTTCTTTTTTGTCCTCCCCTACTACGATCCAAGATAGATGAAAGCCAGGTCTCTCTTTTCTACCATCTAAGACTGTGCCTACAACAGTGTAGGTATTCAATAAATATTTGTTGAACAAATGAATAAATCAGCATCTTGAAACTCTGTGGGAAAATTTCAGACGTTTTTATTTTTTCTATGGGAATGGGAAAGGACAAATGATTTAGAAGGGAGGAGGCTGGTCATCAGAGCCCATGATGTGTTGCCAAGTTATGGAAATGTTGAAGGAGGCCAGCAGAGCTTGCCTGGGCCCCTCTCTAAGTGGTTAGCGGATTCTCACTAGAAATAGGCAAATCAACCTGAAGGAAGGCCAAGAAGCATAGTCCACCTGTTCTTGAGTTTTGGTCAGGTAGGTTAATATACTACCAGGCCTATTTTCACATTTCTAGAAAAATGTAAATTAGTCATTTAGTATTACAATATTATGGAAGACAGAGGCTTCTTGACTCATAAAGCAACTACTAGTTCCTAAGAAACTCAGTATTAGAATTGGAAATCCATTCCAGTGAGATTTGTGAAGGAAAAATACCATTTGAAGAGAAAATGAATTTTCAAATATAAATACAAATTTTAATGAGTGATTTGTTTGCCTAAAACAAAGGTGGCCAACATGTTATTTTGGGAGAGTTAATTCTACTGGTTACAATGGCCTGTCTTTATTTGGAGAGGAAGGACAAGAAGATGTTTCTGTATTTCTTGGGAAGAGCAGAAAATATTGGCAATATTGCTGTTGTTTTTCTGTTGGGGACCACATTTAGCACACTATACAGGATGATACAAATTCTGAGCAAAACATGATACATCAGAGAAGATAGAACTTATGCTGTTCCTTTAGGATTAAATTAC